TTCGACCAAACGCCCCCCAAAGGAATCCCAGTGCCCCCCTTTTGTAAAAAATTCCGCCAGCGCCCCCTGCCGTCCTCTGAAGCCTTCCTAGATAGCTGACTCTTTTCTACACGTTGTGATTGCTGTCGCTTGGAGGAAGCGTTGTGGAACAGTGGTGATCATGTTGAATTTGGATGCTCAGCCTGTCTGTAGCTGCATTTACATTGAGCTTGTTGCTGTTGTTGCTAGGCATTGTGGAAACCAAATTCATTCGAGTTGTCACTTGTCTTAGAAGTCTCCTGTCATCAGATGCTCGGCGTAAAATATGAATAACCAAGACATGCAGGAAAAAGATGCTACGGATAACAGATGGCTTTCCCATAGTTGGTCACATTGGGTTCCGGTTTGTAGCTTTCAAAGTCCAGTGTTTGAACAAATGTCATGATGATGGTGATTTTTGTCAATATGTTAATCAACTTTTCTTTTAAAAGTAGCATTGTCAAAGGGAAGTGCAAATCTAACGGCTTTCATGTACAGTTCATAGCTGCAACCCGTTTCAGTCGTGGAGTTCATTAACTTTTCTGCAGAAGCTGTAAATATTCTCCAGTTTATGCCTTGGGGATTTGACACCCTCAGGTTTTGTGCCTGTCCAAAAAGAAACTCTTGTGACTCTTTTCAAAGTTCCCCCATCAAAACACAAGATTTGCAACCCAGAGGAGATGCAGGTCATAAATAATTGATGGGTTTAAATTCAGCCACCGTCAATATTAGGAGCGTTTTCTGTTTAGAGATGCATCTGATGAACAGCATAAAAGAGCCACTGGCCTCTTTAAATCAATGAATGCAACATGTTGAGGCTCTATTTTTATTATTATTGCTCTTCACAGTCCCAATCCATGAATAATTGGTGTACATTTTGTATTTTCAAGAAACTATTTTGAAATATGAGAAATTACTTGGTTGTATTAGAAATGGATCAGCCTTATTTATTGAAACATCAACCTGATGGAGGACAGGGTGTCAGTGGTCCTTAAATTCATGTACAAAAGAAATGAAGCCATTTAAATGTCTTAAATTAATTTCAATAAATGTAAGTTGACCTTAGACATTAACCACAGGTCTTAAGACTATTTAATCTCATATATATAATGTAACTTATTTTCTGTCAAGGAAAAGTTTGAGTCACAAGCAGACATTCCTTTCTGTGATTCGAGATGGTTGACTATCTGCTAATATACCATTGCTAGCTAGCTGACATCGAGGCTACCACTAACTATCTGCTAATATACCATTGCTAGCTAGCTGACATTCAAGGCTACCACTAACTATCTCCTAATATACTATTGCTAGCTAGATGGTGTTTCAGACTACCACTAACTATGAATATACTCTTGTTGACTAGCTAGCAGTTGAGGCTACTATTAGCTAGCTGCTAATATATTCTTGCTAGCTAGCTTTTTTACATCTATCATGGGTAAATGTAAATTTATTGGCAGTTGGTTGTTTGACATTCATCTGTGCAGAAAAGCTTTGCACGACTACAATGTAAAAAATGTCATTTTATTTTGTACATTTCTGTCACAAGGTCTTAAACTTCATTCATAAAGGTCTTAAAAAGCATTAAATTTGTATTTTTAATAGATATTTTAAAAAAGAATTTTGTATAGTTATGAGTTTTAGTTTAAAATTAATTAGAATTGATTGAAAAATATTTACTAGTCCAGCTTCAAATCAGATGCCTCTTTATTAAAACAATGCAGTATTTCTCTATGCATAGTCAATATGCTGATATGTGATAATAGAACGAACAAAAACCTTCATTATTGTTTTCTCTGTGTTGTGCGTTTTCTCCACAGAGCTTCCTTACGGCTGGGAGAAAATCGATGACCCCATTTACGGCAGCTACTACGTCGAGTAAGTTTAGTGCATCTTTAATATTGCCTTTGATTTTCCTGCGTAGCTTGTTGGTGCAGTATTAATCATGTTTATTATGAGTAGTTCACAGTAGGAAATTCTCCATTTATGCTCCTGCAGGCTTTGAAGGAAGTTTATTAGCCAGTCTGTGCCTTGGTTTTTCTATTAGCCTGTGTCTGATACGGTTTTGGTGCTTGTATTTATTAATAGATTAACTCAGGAGCAAGAATTTGCACTCGTGTATCTCAGACTAACTGCTGCAGTGGTCTCTCCTCGCTATTATGGGGTTTTGTTCTTTACAACTTCGATATGTTTGGAAAATCACAAGAATATACCTGGGTTAAAAAAAAACAATAACAAAATGTCAACTGTACGTACTTCATCTCCCTCTACAGGTATTGTTGTTTTGTTTTGATCTAAAAGACACTGCACGCTTCTTTAACTCAAACCACCGTAAAACTGTTACATAATTAGTACTTTAGGGCGTTCATTAAAAGTTAAGTAGAGAGGAGATGAATTGTGCCTGTGTGTGTGTTGGCACACAATGAAGTCTCATAAAGTCAGGGAAATATTTAATGATGACTAATTACCCCATGCTGGCAAATTACACTACATGTAGTCAACGATTTAAACTAAATTTAAAGGAGATATCAAGGTTTCCTTGATTATTATCAAGTAATTTGATGAATTGTTTATTGAAAAAAGCCCAGAATCAATTGTTTGGTTTTTAAATATGCAAAACTATTCTACAGCTCTTACAAAATGACTACCAGCCATTTAATTAGTCATTACAGCAATATACAGCTAATGGTTTATCACACAGTGTGTCGGAGCATCCTTAAAAATATTATATTCATGTATGTAAAATGAAAACATTAAGTCTTAAATTTATGTATCTCAAGATAAGGCCTTAAAATGTCTTACATTTATTTTTGAAATTTATTTTGGCCTTAAATAACACTAATAGCAAGCCTTAGATTTTGTCGTATATACTATGTATTTATTTTCTCACTGGACTTTTCTGTTTGGCAAAAGTTTGAGTTTTTTTGTGTTATCACGAGTAAAATACAGATGGCAACAGAAAATGGACAAGTTAATTGTGATCGTATAGTCTTAATTAACATTAATTTAATCATTAATCTACATAAATAATCTCATTTTTAACATAAATAACAATTAATATATATTTTTAGAAGTATATATTAGTATGTTTTAACATAAAATATACTAACATTCATTATATGGTAAATAAAATACAGTAAATAAACCTAAACAAACTACAGAGCAAATAGTTGACAACAGTTAATAGTTGTAAAATTAAACGCAACTAAAATGCACAACTGTAATTATAACAGTTAAAAAATATATACAAAAAGTGACAAAATTACACATAAAACTCTGTGTATTACATTTGTCTAAAATATATGAAAAAATATAATACTTGTAAAGAAAAAAGTGCTGATACTAGTGGTGCCACGGTTGCCGACGGCAACAGAAAAAGGGGAGGAGCTGGCAGTTACTGGTTACTACGGTAACCACCAACTGCCAAGAGCAGCAGAGCAGAACGAAACACAACTTAATAATGTCAGGAGAAAATAATATTTTGATTAAACAAAATGACTTTGGAGAATAAATAAACCAAATTTGACAAAACTCACGTTAATTTCTACATATGAATATACAGTATATATACTTATATATACTTGATCGCACCAAATGTGTAATATATATTACACATTTGGTGGACGCGGTAAAATCTGAATTTTATCCTTCCTTCCTTTCTTTTATCGTTCTAGTCATATAAATAGAAGAACCCAGTTTGAGAACCCGGTTCTGGAGGCGAAGAGAAGACTCCAGCAGCAGCAGCAGATGCAAAGTCAGGGTCTGTCCTCACTGCCCCTTCCCGCTATCTACAGAGGTAAGACTATACAGATGATATTCTTTCTTATATGTAAAATATTTATGCAATTAAAGCCAGTTTTCTAAGTATTTCGAGTCCCACCTGTGGATTTATTTTTAGCTAAGACCTCAATTTCACCGTTTCCTTGTGTGGCGTCATCAGAAAACTTCCAAATGCCTGAAGGAGCCGCCCGCGTTCCTCTGCTCAAATAGCTATTTGCAAGTATAAAGTCCATGCAAATGTTCAGCATACATTTTGTTCAGGAAGGAGGAAGATTCTGTGTCCTGGAGTTGAACAGGTTTTGGTGCAAAACATGCAACTCAACCAGGACTGAAACGATTAGTCGTGATTAATCCATTATTAAAATAATTATTAGCTGGAGTTTACACTCTAAAAAAAATGCCATTTGCTGAAAGACAAACTTACTAAAAGCAGTAATTAAGTTAAAAATGTATTTTAAGATAAAAAATAAATTCTTTGTCTGTGAATATGTGCCACCCAAAACTAAAATAATCATTAGGTGCTGCCCAAAACTCAACTCCAAAAGGCAGTTCCACCAAATGCTCAGGAGATATATGAAAATGTCTCGTTTTAAAGACGGTAATAAAAAAAATCTATTTTATGATTCTGGCATTTAGCAAGCAGAAAGTGAACCTGTAAATGTTTGCTTTGATTTAACAACTGACGAGAAATGAAGCACATCTCTTTTTTTTATGCAGTTAAAATCTGGTTTCAACTGTTACAAGGACATGCAGTCATCTGATTTTTATTACAAAATCTTACCTTTCAAAGATTGAATTTTATCGTCCTTGTGTTTCTAAAGGTCTCTTATTCATTTGCTTGAATGTTATTGACTTTTGAGCTTTCCTTTTAGCATTACAGTGCCATTTTGTGCACACTTATCATTGGCATTTGGGCTTATAATGATTTATTTTCCTCTTTTTCCGGAGTGTAATGGTTATTCAACAAATACATAGCTATGATTTAAAAATATGTTATGTATTTTCTCTAATTCACACAGACTCAAGTAAGTGCATAAATATATACAATTTTCCTTATTAGTTCTTGTTGGATTTCTCTTATCATAATTGGTAGAGTTTAAATGAATTGGTCTCATTGTCCTCCTTTAAGACCACAAATTATCAGTATAGTTAAAGGTCAAGGCTTTTATAAATTATTTAGACATTTTTAATTATTTACGCACCTTTGCATTCACTGTCATCTTTAAACACACAACTGTGTCCAAGTTTTAACCAATTAGCTGTTTCTTATTCTATCAGCTTCTCTAATGCATTAATAACATTAGAAGCCCCACAGAATGATGCATAAGTGGAACCGTTTTCTTTTAAGCTTGTTTATTTTTCTGATCAAATTAGCTTTTAGTGTTTGTTACAATACCCGGCTGTGTCTGATCTTCAAAATAAACCTTCCTCTTCAAATTGAAGGAGATTTACGACGGCATATTAGGGTCATTGTAGATTTAAAAAAAATTAAAGGAGCAGTACATTTCCGTCAAAAACTCTGAAATTTTGAAATTAATCTTCTGAGAAGTTAATCTTCTAAGTTTCTGAGCTTGAAATGTCTAAAATTTGCTAGAAAGATATCAGAAATGATCTAGAAAAAAACTGAGAAATATCTGTAAATAAAAAGTTGAAAGTTTGCTTGAAAAAACTCAGAAATCTCAGAAAAGAAAAAAAATCAACATTTGTAACTTAGGTTATTTTTCTGTAGAATAAACTTTTGTTTTCTTTTTCTGCATCCGTCGTAGAGATTGGTTGGGATTAGGGATTCAAACAATTAATCTAATCATGATTAATTGTCAACTAATGATTTACTTTAATAAAATTATTTCCATAACGTCCGCTTACGCCTCATTATAGTGTTGTAGTTTGGCTGCCATCCATCAGAGGGCGCCGCCGGTCATCTTTAAGCGGCGCAAGTAACAGAAACAAAGATGGCGGCGGGGTTATATCAGAAAGGGAAAGATAAACGGTTCAAACAGAGTCGCTTGTGGGATGGAAAATTCACGTTAAGCGGTTTTGTTTTAAAATATAAATACTCTACAAGCTTCTTAAGTTATGAAATATAGACACTCGGCAAAGTCCTTTAGTTTCACCTTAATAGCGGTCATTTAGCCGAGCTGCATGACGGAGCAGTGACAACTCATTTAGAAATGATTGATGTGCTGCGAAGGAGAAGACGCAGAAAAACAGTAAAAACATGGCGCCGATAAGCAAGGTTGGTTTTGAGGTTTTTGTTCGGTTGGAGCGAAGTTTTAACATTCCTTTACATACAAAGACTTCTGTATGAACATCTCTATGTTCATGGGGAATTACGTGTTTAACACATTATTATTTTCATCTTTTATTTTTCTACTCAGCAACGTATGGAGTTCTTGGTTATGGTTTATAAATACGTCCAAGTTTAATAATGTGAGAAAATACATTTTCAGTTTATTCAGCCAGTATTTAATACAGGTGACACAATATAATGTTAAAATTTTACGTTTTGTTTTTATATTTAAAAACATTACCGTAAAAAATTTAGCCCTTTTATTTTATGTAGAGACGTCATCGAAATGACAAGAGAACATTCATATTTTATGGAAGTGGCCGATAAGATTAATCAGCTTTAGATTAACTTATTAGTTGAAAACTTTAATCCCTATATTGGGAGTTGTATGAATAAATTTATTGATAAATTTTTTTCTTAACATTACAGTTATTTCTGTTTGTTTATACTATTTCTATATTTACTGAGATGTAATTACTTTAGTCAATTATTTGACATGCCTTTGTGAGCTGCTTTTTAAAAAAATTTTATCTTTTCTTTCGTGCACAATGACAATAAGAGAATTTTTGATTCTAAAGGTAATATTTACACCTAAAACTGCTTGTTTTCCACAGCTTTTAGTGGTTGGATCAGGTCAGCTGTCCCTGCTTGAAGTGAATCGTTCAAACTGTCTCTAACTGAACTTGTTGGTTTAATTGTGACTCGATTCTCCCCATCTGTCGTTTCCCAGCGGTAGGAGGTACTGGACTGTGGAAGTGTAGGTTTGTTTCTGTCATAGTGCACCACTCCAAACTACCTGTGTCCAGTCCAGTGAGGCTCTCTCTCCTCTTTACTTCACCCCTTCCTCTTCCTCTTTTCTCACACTTTAACGCCAGCGGAGGATGCCAGCCCCAGCGCCACCCTCCCCAGGCGCCCTCGTGCGCAGGCCGGCCCGGTGCCCGAGCGCTGCCACAGCCTCGGCGACCTGTCCCGCTCCCCGACAACCGGTCGCCGGGCTCCCTCGTACGCCACCTCCTCTTCCGCCGAAGTGTCTCCGCTCCGGAGCGTTCTGACTCGGCGGATGAACACGTGCCCTCATAGGCAGCGGCATCCGCAGCCCCTTTACGCCTCCGCCTGCACTGTTCTGCTCGAGCAGCCCGTGTGCAGCCCCTATTCCCTGTGGCACATCGTCAGTAAGTAGGCCAAGAAGGAAGAAAAACGCGGCTGACTGTCATTCCTATGGCTGCCTGCGCTCGTGACTTACTGTACGCATGCAAAGCTTCTCCCTTGAGGCCGTTTTGGGGATTTGTGCAATGACTATGCACTATGACTTGTTTTATCTCCGTGCATAAGCAAACACAGTGAGGGTAATCGCTCACTAAATCTGGACCAGTAACGACAAACAAAGGATGTAAACTCTCCTGTTAGCCAGATTTAGTTTCCGAGGTGGAAAGACGTAGGACTTGCTTAAGTGTGACTAATCCTGTTGGCTGAGATCCGCACATTACTACTCAAGGCGCTCCTCTAAAAAATTCTCCCACTTTTCCTTAAAACTCCCCGAGCATCTTCCTGTGGAACTGATCCCCTGCTGAGAGCATGTTTTCTGCTGGACCCATGAACTGCACCACTGCTGCACTCTGCACGCCCTCTGCCCCATCGTGCACTCCTGATCAAAGTTTGAAGACCAGTTGAAAAATGGCAAGAATTCACATTTTGCACTGCTGAATGTTAAGACTGTTCTAAGTAGAGCTTCAAAATGCAAAAAGAAGAAATGGGAAACAAAAAAAATCTGAGTAAGCATTTTATTGTAAACCTTTAAGTGGACCTTTAATCTAAAATTAATGTTTTTATACTTCCTTTTAGGTTTCTACTGCTTCTAGAAACAACCCAAGTGCTTAAAAAAACACCCAGAAAGTTTTAAGCTAATACTTTTTGGTGTTTGGAAAATGAGCTGTTTCGATAACCTCCAGAATGTAACATCACAAATCAGCAGGCACTGCCCGTTACCTAGCAACCCCATCAAAGCCCTGCCGGTTACTTAGCAACCCAGGCAGAGTTCCAGGCAGAGTTTCAGTGTGGTGGTCAGCTGGTTTAACTGCTGTATAATGGCTGCTGGAAAAGACAAGAGCTTTTTCCAGAGACCACTTGCTGCATTCTTGTTTCAGGAGGCTCCACTTCTGTTTTCCAAAGATGTACGGTTGTATAATTGCACATCTGTTTGCAGCCATTTTCACGTGTGAGTGTAAACGTTGAGTTGGGGTTTGAGAGTAGAAGGGAGTGGCTCTGCTTAGAACATTTTTAAAATCCAAAACTGCAAAATATAAATATTTGTAATATTTCAATTGCTCTTAAGATTTTGATCAGGAGGGCATCAGCTTTGGAGGAGAGCGATCCGGTGACGGTCAAAATTTGGGTGGATTTTTGCATCTGGAGTAAGAATTGCTAAACCTCACCTGCATCTATCGGCACCACGGCCCAACCTGTGTCCAGTTATGCTACCCTGCCAGTTTCCCTTCCTAGTGGACAAGCTTTCCCCCTCATGCCTCCGCCCTCTGAGCCCCACCCTGCTCCAGCTTTGAGGTTCTTTCAGTGACTGGAAAAAAAAAAGAATTAAACTGAGGGTTATATTTAAACCGGTTATCGCTTTTGTTTGTTTTCATTTTTAGAGAAACCCCTGTTCACCCGAGACCCGACTCAGCTGAAAGGCAGCTTCCTGTCCACGGCGCTCCAAAAGAGCAACATGGGGTTCGGCTTCACCATCATCGGTGGGGATGAGCCTGATGAGTTCCTCCAGGTCAAAAGCGTTATTCCTGACGGACCCGCCGCAGCCGATGGCAAGATGGCCACAGGTAAGCCCCAGGAACGGCTGCCACACTGTCTGAAACAGAGCTAAACTGAGCCCCAGTACTTACAAATAACAAAATAAAATAAAAATAAAAAACTTTTATTTGAATCAGTTAAGTCTAGGGCTAAAGTGATTAATCACGATTAATCAATTGTTAAAGTCATCGTTAACTAATTTAGCAATTGATTAATGGTTAACTGGAGTGTACAAACTCTAAAAAGGTCATTTCCTGAAAGAAAACATATTTTCAGTAATAAAGCCAAAATTGTTTTAAAAAAAATGGGAAAAAAAATTATATATATATATATATA